GCCTCGGAGTGCTTGGTGCTGCGTTGATCTTCCAAGTCTCTCATGTCCTCCAGGTTTGTGAGGCACGTGGTCGGTTTCCGTCGTGAGTGCCCAAAGCACCCTTGATCAAAGGATACCAAACCCATTCCTTGGTAGCGGAGCAGCTGCATTAACTCCGGCCATGCCCAAAAGCTTGGACTTTCTTCTTCGCGAGCTTGTGGAACATACGTCAACGGATCCTGTGGGCTCTCCAAGAGGAAAGCGGTTCTCACACGATGACGCTCGCGGCATTCTTCAGACCTTATGAACAGGCCAATTTGTTTCAGCAGCAGTGCTGCATCTGAATCAGCCAAGTTCTTCTCCCGGTCTGTCAATCCTGGTAGACCATACCGGTCATGGAAACGTCCACGCAATGGTCTTGGTCCCGGTTGTTTCTGCCTCAATCGGCTGACCGTCCGACAGGGAGGTCCCCCGATGATAGCAAGAAGTTTTCCCAGGCTTGCAAGTTTCCAAAGGAAACTCCATGTTCCCGGATTGTGTAGATCTTGATTTCGACCTTCATTGATATCCAAAGTGATGACTTCAATCCCATTAATGGGATTCTTTCGCCATTCCTTCGCCCTTTCTCCAGCAAAAAGGTGGACTATAACCCCTTTTGAGGTGAGCAGCCTCCTTCTTTTGTGCCGGTTCCATGGTAAATCATGGTTCATTTGCGGATCTTCTTCATCTTGAACCCGCATGTAATTCCAAATTCTGTCCGGTGTTTCCGGAAATCGTGATCCCCACCACTTCTTGGTCTTCTCCGTGGGCTCTTCCAAGGTGAGCCGATGGTTGGTCCTCTTTTCCATTTCCATGTGCTCAATCTCAGTGATCAGAGCCAGAGCGTGGTCCTTTCGAACCACTGGACACCCAGACCTTAACCAACATTCTATGTTTCCCAGTCGTGGATGCTTCACAACACATCCTGCACGGGACCAAGTGATGGTGTATCCCAATTCCACCAAACCTCGAAGAGGTACAATTGGTTCCACCGGTCCCTCCGACAAGAGGGTTCCATTCACATGATTTTGATAGAGCTGAGCAGCTCCATGTGCGAGTTTCACAGTGACCTGCACCGCGTTCTTGATCTCCTCGGTTGATCCCTGTCTCAAGGGGTGTGTCGCCCCACCATCCAATAAACCCGTTCCATTATCAAACTCGACTTCGAGATGATCCCCACCATGCCCCACCGATTTCAAGACCGGTCCATTGAGACCCTTCAAAAGGCTGGTGACTTCTCCTACAACCTTTTCGGACTTCTCTGGTACAGGGGTAATAGTGACCGTGGATTCATCCCTCGGGTTGATCTTCACGACAGGTTCAGGACGTTCTTGAGCATCACCTCCTTCTTTTCCAGAACCATTTTTCCTCTCTTGAGATCTTGAGCGGATTCTAGTGGTTTTGGCCACCTTTGGTTCTCCAGATCCACCTTGTGGACCTCGTGACTCACTTCGTTTTCCCGCCGGACAATCACGTCGGGAGTGTCCCTTTCCAGAACAGTTGAAACATCGGCCATCTTTGGAGTCCAAAACGGTGTGCATAAACCGGCATCGTTCTGCATATTGGCATCCCTTCTCAGTCAGCCAGTTGACGCACGCCACCTTATGGACCACATTAGCGGCGTTAATCGGCAGCTCGGGCTTCTCCCCCCTCCTTCCGGTGGAAGAACCTGCTGCGTCTTCTGGTTTTCCCTTCGAAGCTCCCTTTGGTGGACTTCCAGATGAATCCGGTCCACTCATAGACTTCACCCCCACTACATTGTTGGGCTTAGTCGTTGGACCCTGTGTTGTGTTCCCCGGTTGACGGAGAGCCATTTCACTAGCCTCCGCTTGAAGAAGTTCCGAAAACGTTCGGATCTCTTGCATTCCCGGCCGGAGATCTATGCCCAAATGCTGTCTCACCGAAGACAACCGGTAGGCAGCTTGAGCTCCCCCCAACCTGGCCAAGGCATCACTCATTTTTGCGACCTCTCCGGCCAAAACCAGAGGATCGGGCAAAACCAATTGAAGTTCTTCGGCACGAACCACCCATCTTCTCCACTTCCGGATGGAGTTGACCATCTCTGCAGCATTATTAGATGGACATTTCCAGTCCACCAACATTTGCAGCAGGGCAGTTCTTTCCACTTGTCCCCCAGGTTGGAAGACGGTGTACAGCTTGAACATGACTTGACCCGCTGACATGTGTCTGTTCGCCACAAGGTCCTCGTAGATGTCCTTGGGGACGGCTTGAAGCAGCATACCCACCACCCGTTTCTCTGTGCGAGGCCACCTACGGGCCATGTCAGGTATCACAGGCGCCATCCGGAGCCTCACGAGTGGATCCGCTTGCAACCAGTGGTGGTATGCTTGTTCAACAGCAGTCATCACTACTTCCCACCATTGCTCTGAGGTGTAGCTCACATCCCCAATCATCTGTTGGGCAACTGTCAGCCAGTCTCCAAAGTCCAAAGATGTTGCGTTTCTGTCCAGCTTCGGCAATTCGACCGATCTTAAAGTCTCGCCTGGTATTTCTCCCCCTGCCTGAGGTCCTGCTTGGACTGCAACTTGCTGTTGTTGTTGTTGTGGCGGTACAGCTCGTCCTGGATTTCCTTGATGACCACCTGGCGGACCAGGTGCTTGTCCCGGATTTCCATACTGCCCCGGCGGTGGACCCCCCGGTCAACCACAACCACCCATAGGTCCGGTGTTTCCACCCGGAAATGCAAAACCTCCATGAAGTCGATGATCTTGTCCTGCAGGTGCTCCTCCAACTTGGGCTTGAGGATTATACCATTGATTGGGTTGTTCACCCATAAAACAGGGTCTTGTGTTTTCCATGGCTCCCATGCAGGGAGCTCCCATTGGTGGTCTCGGCGCCGCTCCCTGCGGCATTCCATTCATCCACCCTTGATTCATATACACATCCATCGGCCGAAGACCTTGTTCGACCCTGGGCGTAGGAGGCGCATGCCACATCGGACCTCCCGCCTTCAATTGAAGGTCTTGATCATGATGATGTTGAACTCCCGGAACTGCCTGATCTAGCACCTGTTGTCCTTGGGGTGGGACACCTTGAGGTGGCCCTACAGGAAAACACTGCCCGATGTTCTGCTCCGGAGAGGCGGTTTGATAAGACCCCCCACTCGACTGAGAGCCCTTGTGACCTCCTCCTGTTTCTTGGACCCGTTCCAGGGCACGTTTCTCTTCCCGCGTGGCTAACCAATTTTCTCGATCTTGTTGGATCTCAGTCTTGCCCCGCTGGATGAATTCCATCGCTCGTTGTTTCAACTCTTCATACTTCTCTTTCTCCCTTGCGTCCGCCCGATCAATCAGGTCTTGCGACACTGTGGGATAAGTCAGCTCCTTCACTGGAGTTTGTGGACTGCTCATTAGAGCTTCCACTCGCTTGGCAGCACTCCATGGATTCGTTTCCTCTGCAGCCATGACCCCGGTTACAATCCCAGGATCCACAACCGCCGTTCCCCACTGAGGCACCATTCCCGTAGGTGGCACTCCAGCACACATGGATTGCTGGGACATCCCAGCTACTTGCGAACCCTGTGTTCCACCAGTTGCAGTATACACCACAGGTGCTCCCGCCGGCTGGTAGATCATAGGTGAGCCTGTTGGTGCCGCTGGCACCGATTGTTTAACGCGTGCATCTTCAGGAGACTCAACAGGTGAACGTCCGGGTCGCTCCAAAAGAGCAACGGTTTCCACAACAGCAGCCGCACCTCCACCCACTTCAGTTGAGCTTTGGTGTTTTCCACCCTGTCCTTCTTCTCGATTACCCACAACAGGTGGTTCACGAAATCCCTCAGACATCCGGGCAACTACTGGTGTTTGTGTCATAGGCACTCCCGAAAGAGTTAGACTATTCACACCTGGGGTCAAACCAGACAACAGACCGCCACTCCCATTTCCTCGTACCACTTCAAGTCCAGGAGGTTCTTCAGGTGGTAAGGACACTGGTCTTGCGACTTCTTCCGCAACAGCCGGATTCTGGGCGATTCGTTCGCCCGCTCCAGCCCGGACCGCCGCAACCTGCACTAGGGCTCCACTTCCCCCAGCACCGGTCAGTGCCATCACACTTTCTCCAACTTCCCCTTCCATCAGTGATCTTCGGGTTGAGTCTGATGATCTTGTCCCTGTTTTTTCCCCATGTGCTTGTCCAGGTGTGTCCATCTCCTCCAGAAGCCGATCCAGCATTTGGTCTGCCGTTTCCGCGCGTTCTTCTTTTCCATGTCCATGGGTCCCATGTTGTACTTCTTCAGCATGAGCAGCCGCTTGAACTTGGCGTTCTTGTCGACGACGCTGAGTGAAGTCGCTGCTCGACATTGCTTCAAGGCAGCGTTGGGGTTGGGCTCATAACCCACGGGTTTCAGACTATGACCGAGACCCTTCCCGGAGGTCCCCACCAAGAGGCAGATGCAAGTGCACCTTTTCACTCCAAGTTGGGCTCGGTAAATTGAGCCAGTCAGTTGATTGGCCCTTGAGCCAAGTTGCAACAGTCGGAGGACGTCTCAACGACTGTGAAAACTTTAAAAAGACCTTAGTGGGGGTGCAGTGGTACTCTGTGCATGTTTCCCAAACCGCACTTCTAAACAAATAGATCCATCACGATCCACCACGGTTTTATCGGTAATCCAAGATAATTCATGGATAATTCAATGTTTCTAAGGTGGGGTAAGTTTAGGGGAAGGGTGAAGGGATGTAGGCATTGGATACAAAAGTGACACCAGACATTTTTGGTTCTTTTCGGCGGGTCAAGTTCACGGTGTTCACGGTGCGCATTTCTGAGGAGGAATTTCACCTGATGCAAAGTCGATTTTCTGGTCGAGCCAGGTGATTGAACTCAGGAAACGAGTCGCACATGGATATCGACTTGACTTGAGTTGATGTTTCTTGTTGACCTTGTTTTTGCTAGGAGTTCGGGGGTTGACATTTTCGATTTTAGGAGCAAATTTGGGCTGCCAGCATTGTGTTGCCCGGAACTGCCAGGTGCCGAAGCAGAGCCTCAAGTCCCAAATCCGCTGCGGATGCTGCCGCCCCTTGCGTGGTCTGTGAAACCTCTCATTTTCTCATGGAATTCCAGGACACTTTGAGACGACTTTCTTTGAAGCTGGGAACTTTTGGGGCTTTTGGATGCTTTTGAGCTTGAGTTTTATTTGCACGGTCATGGGTGTCATATGCATGGTCATGGGATCCCCAGGGCAGGGGATGGGGTTTTGACACCATGATTTTTTTTGTCACTTTCAGCTTGGCAGGATGACTGCGGAATGGCCACGGGGAAAAGTTCAGAAGCTTTCAGTGTCTTACCAGATCACCATGATCATTGATTTCCCCTTGGTAATCAAACAATCCAGATAATCCAAGCAATGGAAATGTAGATGAGTTTCTGTTTTCCATATTCGATTGCAACGTTTCTATGGTGGAGACTGATGGAAACCAATTGCAGGATGAACTGCGCAAGGATTAGCAGGTATATAAGGATACGGAATGCTGATACCCAGAAATTTCAAGCTGCGAAGCTAGTCCCATGTTGGCTTTCTAAGGTGAGCGAGACGGCTTTTGAATTGAGCGGTCGCCAGTTTCAATTTCGACCAGGGCAAGTTCGACATTTTACCTGGGAAGATGGAACTGTCCAGACGGTGCAGAGCATTCACAAGACGCCCATCTAGCAGATAGATTTGTCGCAGGTTTGTTGATGGTTCCTGTTCATCCCTGTTCAGTTTGTCGATGCTCAATGAAACCATCCACAATTACGCACACTGCAGTAGCACCTGGTACCTTGCACTGTTTTCAATGTTTTCCATTTGCTGGTCCTACACGGTCCTACTGATTTTCCGAAGCCGTCCCAAGCCTTCCAAGCCGTCCCGAGCCGTCCCAAACTCCCAAGATTCCAGGAACGTGGTGTGGTGGAGCACGCAGCATCCCCATCCTGCTTGGCAACGCTTCAGGCAGATCCGGAGACCTGAGCATGATACAAAAATATACAAAACAAATAGAGGAAACAGGTGGACAAAAATATGGGAAAGACCTGGAAGAATCAAACCTCTTCAAAACAGAGAGAAGAACTTTGCAAGAGTTTCGGACGCGACAGCACCCAATACGTTGCGCCCAGCCCACGTTGTGACCCGTCCATGTCGCAGCGTCGCCCAGGTGGGTTTGCACTCCAAAATGCCAAGTCGAAAATCACCACGACATGGAGCTCACGGACTGGGAGGGTGATGGCTACAGATGCTGTGCGCTGAAACATCGTCAAATAGATTCACACAGCCTTTGGTTCGCCACTGTATTCCAATACGTTGAGATGGCAAGCAATATGTGAAGGTGGCACATCTCAACACAGTATCTCAATGATTCTCAATGTATCTCAGAGATTGGATTGACAACGTGCTCCCAAATGGTAGAGATGTGTACATATTTTGCCTTTTTTTTGGAACTTAATTAATGTCCAGGTAACTTGGTAGATCAGGGTAGACCCAAAACCTGGCTAATCCTGGCTAGGTCATGCAACATCCACATCGGTTCACAGTCCGTTGACAATGTTCACCGCTCGGCTGTTTTCTACACAACTTGTTTCTTCAGCGCAGGCTCGTGAAGATGATATCAAAATCCATATCTATCATTTAAAACATAATTTCTTGATGTTTCTTGAAAAGGACACAACATGACATGACTACATTGACTTGCTGGAATTCGGCATGCAATTTCAGCAAACGAGTAAATTTGAAGCAATTGCCAAGAGTTGTGTTTCTAAAGACTCAGGATGCAAATCGTGCTCGCGCCTCCGAGCTGCTGGAAAGCACTGGTACTGCCCGCAGCATCAGGTGTCGCAACCAACTTCAAGTGGAAGTCAAGCTTAAAACTTAAAACGAAAAACTGAAAACAGTCGATGTGAAGACTTGTCAAAACCTCTCTGTGTGGACTAGGTGCACGTGTGCCCAGTTTGCGCAGAGCTGCCACCTGAGATGCCCACGTTGGGGTTGGCAGCCACCTATTTGGTGGACGTCTTTCCACCTGAGGCCCGCAGCGCCTCGACATGGAAACTGTGTATGAAAATGTGTGAACATTTGTTCCTCGGTGGACTCCATGTGGGGGTGTTTTTCCATGGCTTAAACTATGCTGCTGAGGAGTGACCAGCGCTGAGAATCCAACTTTCTACGATATTTGCCCAAAGTTGGCGCACGGGACGGCCGGTCCCTTGCCCTGACGACTGTAGTCTCAGCAAAGTGCATGACGTTTGACATTGAAGCACCATATTTTGAGCATTTGTATTTTAAAGCTGTGCCTCTTGTGTTCTTGGCCTGGCACTTGGCAAGGTATGGGTTACAACAGGACATGTCCCAGAGATGGAAGGCCCCACTGCAGCATTGTGGACGCGTTGGAAGATGCGTACAGTGGCCACTTGGTTTGAGGGTTTCACCATGATCAGGGATGATGTGGGATGGCTAGATGACATCAGGTGTAAAGGATACAATAGATATCAACAGATATCAACCGATGACTTCAATGACTTTGTGCGATCATTTGGCAAACATTGTGATATATTGTGATCATTTTCTGCAGTGCCTGAGGAAAGGTCACACACTTCGTTTCATGGTGCTGGGCATATTCCTTGAACGATGTCGTCAGTGCCATTGAGCGATGGGTACAAAAGTCCAATGAAGATGCACGGAACGTCTTCCTGTGGATGTGCTTCTTCTGTAATAACCAGTATCGAATCAAAGAGGAGGCTCCTAAGTCAAGCCATGGCAGTTGTTACAACATGTGACAACTCCTTTCGCAGTTCACTTCTGTTTCTGCTTGTGACCACTGTTTTACCGATGGGCAAGGAACAGCGGGTGGATTACGCAAGTCATGTGCGGTGGATGCATCATCGAGACCCAGTTCTTTGATCGTTGAGCTTTGTGTGTCATGAGTCATGACAGGTTTGTCGTTGCATAGATGGACAGTCTTGTCCCTGGAGGCGACTCAAACAGGAAGCGACGATCTGAAAGAAATCTTTGAATCCCATCTGGTGGAAGCGGGACATATGTTGGTGCTGCTCGATACCATTGTGTCAGGGGCTTATCGGCTTGTCTGATGAAAGTGTGTGAGTACATAACTGAGCGACTTTGAAACAAACACATATTTGGGTGGTAGCATTATGTGATGGTAAGATGCGATAAATCTTGTTCCCGGGGGAGGGCTACAACTTCTCGAACTTGAGAATGTCTCCATCATAATAAACCAAGAGCTTTCAGGACCTAAGTCACTTATCAATTTGCAGTTCTTGGTTCTTCATGAATATCCGTTGAGTGGCAGTCCCCAAGACACCCAAGTTGCAACTTGGGCCTCCGAGGCAGCCGACCTACGTGAGCGGCTACCTGAACGACCTCCGCGCAGTTGCTGCGGGTCTATGCATTGCTTTCAGGCCTAGGCAGTGCACAGAAGCGAACAGTTCAGTTGTGGTGTGTGCTTGTTGTGCTTGCACTGACTTGCCACAGAAGACTTGGGCTGTGTCTTCCTGAACCAAGCTGTTGCGCGATGCTCCGCTTTTGCACTCGTCTCTTACTGCGTTTGCTTTATCTGATGGTGGTTTGGCTCCCGCCGCTTTGCTTCTTGCAGACGAGGTGGCCAAAAAGGCGTCTCAGCGACGCCTTGCTGCTTGGAAAGAGGACATTCAAGAAAATGTTGCGAAACTGGGGAAGTGGGTTCAGCAAAAACCACCTGATCCACCTACAGCAACACAGGTCGATGGTCCTATTTTGCCTGAAGATAAGGCAAGACAGGAAGCAGCTGCGTGGCACACGCATTGGAATCCGGACCACCTCCCAAATTTAGACCAGGTTCAAAATTTCTGCTTGCAGCTCAACAATCAGGTCGACCCAGTCACGCCTGAAAGCATTCAAGTGGTTGGGGCTGATTTGGCGCGTTCTGCGTTGAAAGCTAAACAAAAAGCGGCTGGTATGGATGCTTGGACTGCGGCTCATTTGTGCAAGTTGCCGGAGTCCTTTTGGAATCACGTTGCAGTCTTGTGGTCGGCGTGCATGCAGTGTGCGAAAGTTCCTACAATGTGGAAAGATATTCGCATAGCCTTGATTCCAAAAGCGGCCGGGGGTCTGCGCCCACTTGCCATCACGACGGTCCTGTGGCGCATCTGCATGAGTGCAACTTTGCAAAAGCTCCGACCATGGATACAAGAATGGGCCTTGCCTCAGCTTTGTGGCGGCCGTCCAGGAAGAGGCATTATGGATGTTCATGAATTGCTCTACGAAGACATTCGTGCTGCCAAACGTTCAAGAGTTGATTTTGTTGGCTGCAAGGCCGATATCCGTAGGTGTTTCGATTCAGTTTGTCCAAAGACTGCACTTGCTATTTGGCGCTGGTTGGGTGCTCCGGCCAGTTTGTGTGACATGGTGGAAAATTTTTACACTGACCAACGCAGGTGGTTTGCCTGGCAAGGCATTTTCCATTCAGAGCCCATTTGTGCTCGGCGGGGGCTGCTGCAGGGCTGCCCGGCAAGCCCAGCCTTACTCAATGCGGTGATGGTAGTCTGGGTGCGCTTCGTTCTTTTGCAAGAGCCTCGTGTTTCTCTTGCAGTTTATTTGGATGACCGCACAATGTGGAAGAAAGGTGTCAACGGCATTCACGTGGTCACCAACGCCATGCAGGCAGGTGCGCAGGTGGATGCAATTCTGGGCATGGAACTCCACCCTGACAAGTTAAATAGTTTCACAACCAAGCAACATTTGACGCCTCAGCTGTCACAGATACAGGACGTGTTGGGGGCTCCTTGCAGCAAGTTCACACTTCTGGGTATTCAGTACAATTTGGAGCGTGCAGGTGCTTGTGTTAATGCAGAGAAGCTTTCCTTTGACATTCACGAGAGGTGTCGCAAAATCAGGTTGGCAGCGAAACGTTTGGGCACCCGCAAGACCTTGCTGGGACAGTTGGTAATTTCTTTGTTTGCATGGACAGGAGCTTTTCACCACTATGATGTTGATACCATCAAGAGTTGGACCTCCAGTATTGAAGCGGCGGTCTGGGGGCGCAAGCCTGCCCCAGGTCGCAGTAGATTGCTGTTTTGGAACTCTTTGGGTACACCGCGTTTGCATCCTGCTTTTGCGCTTCACTTTGCTGCAGCCCGGGCTGAATGGCAGCGCCAGTGCCGCTTGGCCATAGGTGTGCCCGCTGCTGTTTCGCCAGGCCCAAGGTGGAATACTGTTTGCAAAGACTGGAATTGGCGTGTTGAGGGTGGTTTGTGGATCACTCCCGTGGGGACTTTGAAACCAGGGTGGATGTCTTCCTCAAGCTTATACAAAGCTGCTGCTGCAGCATGGCTGGCTTTTATGTGGACGAAGGACACCAAAACGGAGGGTCCTTTACCTGAAGGTAAGTTGCCTGTGTTCCAATTCCAGGCCAATGTGGCGCATGATTTGAACTATTGTGGTCGCAGAGTCTTGACAGGTGCAGCAGTGGATGGGAGAGTTACTCAACGTTTGGAAGTCGACTTGCAGTGTGATTGTGGTTTGAGCTCTCCTGATCGTGAGCATTTCACTTTCTACTGCGAGGCAAATCCTTGGCATGGTGATCTCAAAACTCCAACTGAAAGGCGGTTGCTTGTTCCTCTTGTGGATGCTCCAGCTGTTCTTCCATTTGAAGATATGACGGCCGACCCCATTCTGGTGGCTTTTCTACAACAGTTTGACCCACATCAAACGCCGACGTTGGGCTTGGATGGAAGTTGTGCAATCGCTCCAGGGTGCGAACTTTGGCAGCGTGCCAGCTGGGCTGTGGCGGCTCATATCGGGCCCACGGTCAATGGGTTGGTGCATGGTTTCGAGCAAACTCCTGCTGCGGGCGAGAGAGGTGCACTTCTTCAAGCCTGCTTGGCTTCCCATGAAGCGAACAGAGCGGTGCGCTTGCTGATTGACAACCAAGCTCTTGTGCAACGTCTTCATCGTGGCATGCGGCTTGGACAGTGGGGTGGAGATCTTTTTCCATACTGGCATTATATCAGGATGCTTTTGGTTGATGGCTCTTCTTGTGCGTGGATTCCCTCGCATGATAAAGTTCCTCGATGGCGCCCACCCGAAGGGTGGCTTGATGTTTTGCGTTGCCGCATGCTCAATGCCAATGCGGATGCTAGCGCGGCTGATCTTACAGGTCAATTTCGGCAGGTGATTGCTACTTGTCTGTCACAACACAGAGAGGCTGTTGTTTGGGCTGGAGAAGCTTGGAAGGCGCAACTAAAGGGTTCTCTTCCCTACTGGCAAGTTTTGCTTGAACACGAACCACGTCAAAACAGGTCGTTTGAATAAGCTTTTGCTGCTTCTTCAGCTGCATGGGTGGTACTTTTCTTGACTTGAACTTGCCCTCCGGTTTGTTCAGTGCAAAGAGCTCCGGCTCAGCGTTGGCAATTTCGGCGTCTTAACTACTTCACTTCGGTGAGGAGCAGGTTGACGTCCTCCTCCAATCCAATCCAATCCAATCCGACCTACGTGAGCGGCTACCTGAACGACCTCCGCACGGTTGCTGCGGGTCTATGCATTGCTTTCAGGCCTAGGCAGTGCACAGAAGCGAACAGTTCAGTTGTGGTGTGTGCTTGTTGTGCTTGCACTGACTTGCCACAGAAGACTTGGGCTGTGTCTTCCAGAACCAGAAATGCTTTGCAACATATCCTTAATGGCAATGGAGCAGGCAGCCGAGCAACAGCTCGAAGACGGAAACAGAAACAAAGCAATGCGCAAGCTAATGGCTTCAATTTGCAACAGGTAGGAGAAATTCTCAAGCTGCTTACCCAGCTCTGCCAATTGTTGGGAATTGGGGGAGGCAGCGGAAAATTGTTTCAACAACTTAGCACTCTGATGGGTCAAGAAATTGGAGCTGTTGACACCTCCAAAAACAAAGGAGGGAACAAGCCCAAAAAGAGAAAGAAAGAGCGCAAGACACAGGAAGGTGACAATGGTGGTGCGGGCCTTGGCCACAGGAATGCAGCGCTCAATTCTGCCCCAATCACCAATCCTACTAGCACTTCTGCGCAGCTTCCCAATCGCAAACAGGATGCCAACAAGAAACAGCCCACACAAGCATCCAAGTCTTTTGTGGAAGTAGTTCGAACGAACGCACCGTTCAAACCAGTTTGGTGTTTGAGACAGTCGGACTGGACCGGCCAAGTTTTGACTTTTGATTCTTTTTGCAGTGCGTTGGATCAGCCTGGCAATGTGTCAGCAACAGTGCAGTGTGAATCGGAAGAGCAACTGAGTGAGCTCAAAGTTTTGACAGAAGGTGATGCAACAGATCAGACAAGAGAATTGCATGTCTCTGCAGTTTTGTTAGCTCCAAAAGAAGCGAAGCAGATCGACGGCAGACAGTTGAGGCTCATACCTGGCAAAATAGCTGGGAAAGTTCAGCCAAGGCAGGCTTACCTGATAGCCTTGAAAGGAAACGGACCAACACTCAAAAGAGCAGCCGTTGTTTCTGCTGCTCCTGCAGCTCAGACTGAGACGGTGGTTGTGAGGTTGAGCGTTGAAGCAAAGTATTTGTTGAGCAAAGAGTGGCAGAGCATCCAAGCCAAACCAAAGGCTAGCGCTCAGTCATGGTTGCGAAGGCATGTGCCCGCCCACATTGGTGCCAAAGTTTTTGACATGTGGGCTTTCCAAGAGGAGTGCACGAAGGGTGGTGGCAAGCCGGTCATTACTGGGTTGCTGAGGATTGAGAAAGATGCAGCGAAAGGCTTGCTTTCTTGTTCTGGGAAAAGTCTGTGGTTCGTCGAACCTCTCCAATGGAACAACAGTGTGGTGGAGTCATGTGATGTTGAATGGATCAAGAAAGGTCCTGACCTTGATGGCCCCAGCTATCTTCAAAAGGTCCGAAGTTTGGCAGGTGATCTTGGCATTGCAAGAGGGTGGGGCGGCTTAGGCGTCCGAAAGCCCAGAGCATCTGACCCGATTCCAAAGCCAAGAGCATGGCGCATTAGTGGTGTGCCCCGAGAATGGTCAGCCAGCACGGTCACTGAAGCGATCACACGTGCTGGCTTGCAAGATCCAAAGATTTTGTCTCGCAAAACTTTGGGCAAGCAAGTTGAATGGTGGGCACATGCGAATGCTCAAAGAGATCTTGATTTCCTTGAGATCCAGGCCGGCGAACACACCATTGTTGTCGTTGAAGCGCCCAGGCAGAGACCTCAGCGGCCCATTACAAAGAAGTTGTCCAGTTACGGAAAGGTCAATTTCCATTCCAACACTGGGCCTGCAACTGTGCAATCCTCACAGCCACCGCTAAAGTCTTTCTACATTGGCACGCCGCTCAAGGAAAAGAACGCTGCAGCTGCGCCTGCTACAGGCGCCACGCAGCCTGGTGATGTTCAAGCTGATGAAGCTATGAAAGCTGCTTCGGCTGCTGCAGGTGACAAACGCGAACCTTCTTCGCCCGCCAAGCTGCCGGCGGCAAAGCGAGTTGCAGTGGATGTCAAGCCACCTCATGGCTTGATTGCACGAACCATAGCTGCTGATGGCAATTGTTTGTTTGAGTCCATATCACAGGGAATTGGAGGCAAAACTGCAAGATCCGTGAGAGCTGCAGTTGTGAACCATTTAAAGAAGCATGAAGGTCGGTATAAACCTTGGTGGGACGAAAGGGAGCCCACGGAACAGGAAGAGAAGTGCGAGTCATGGGAAAAGTACATGGAGATGCTTGCAAAGGTTGGGGCTTGGGGCAGCAGCTTGGAATGTGCTGCAGCTGCCGTGCACTACGACAGACCCATATTAGTTTTTCAGCCTACGGGCGTGCCTGAGGTTTACAACAGCCAAGGGAAAGCAGGTGGCGCCATTGCTCTGTGGTATCGCCGAAAGCATTATGAATTGTTGGATGGCGCATTGCCGCCAGGCATTTTGGAGCAAGCCGCCACTGGCCCTATGCAAGGCAACAGAGGGGGCGGGTCGGAAACTGGCACTCACTCGGCTGGCGCTACTCGTTTGTCAGCGCTGCCATCTGTGGCGGGCGCCAAGAAGCGTTCCAAGCGCGACGCCTCCTTGCCTGGTTCTACTTGCTCAGAGCGGCGCAGGAATCCCTCCCCTGCGACTGCTACTTCAGGTCGGGAGCGGCGTGCTGTGAGCAGCGCTGGTGTCAGCGAAAAGGACGAGGCTGGCAGCACTTCGTCCAAACGCCCAAAAAGGGAGGAATGGAATTGTCCTTTGTGCGATTATTCCACAGGGGTACACAGGCTGTGGCCGCAGAAAAAGCAGGCCCACATCAATGCTTGGCATCCTGATGAGAAGGAGAGGTTGAAGCTCACTCCCGCTATGGGTCAGCTTTGTCACGCCGCCCCTGGTATGAGTTTCAAGTGGAAGTGTCACTTGTGCAACATGGTCATTCCTGAAGATGCCGATCTCAGCAGAGACCAGGTGCTTCGCATGAAACTGAGGCATAGAGAAGAACACCATCCGAAAGCGAATGTGCAGCGTTTCAAAAGCGATGGAAGTTACAGGGCGGCAAATGCAGCCAAAGCTACGATTCAAGTGCGCGCAGCTGGCATGGCAAAACGCCTGTTGGGCCTCAAAAAAGGTGATGCCGGTTCCCACGAACCAGTGTTGGTTACCCTCCCTATGACTGGCAAGGCCAAACAGAAAAGAGGAGGTATGGCAAAGGTTATTTGTCGCAAATGTGGCAAGATGGCGAATCAAGCAAAGGAGCTTGCTACGCTGTCCTGTGAAAAGTATGTGGCCGGCAATGGCCCCAAGAGGAAGAAGATGCTGGCAAGGCTCCGCGCTTGTCTCAACAAAGCGTCCATCAGTGATGCTCTCAAGGATGGTGCCCGTACAGTTTTGAACATTATTGACTCAGGCAAGGGAAGCTCCAAAGACACTGCGCCCAAACACCATATTGAGGCACTTGTCTGGCCGGTAGATTTCACGGTCCGTTTTGCTTGCACGAGATGCAAGCGGTGCATGAAGGACGAGAAACATTTCCGTGGAATGTCTTGCGCCAACAGCACCGTTTGGAACCAAAAGAGAAAAGGCAACAAAGACGCCTTGCTGGAGCTCGCCAACAAAGAACCTGGGGCGAGGCAGAGAGCGGCGCTCCGTGCTTTGGAGATTTTGGGGTTTCAGCAAGAGGAAGGTGATTCTACGGACCAATGACGGGTACGTCTAGCACTTTAAGGTTGGGAACTATGAATGTCCGGTCATTGAGTGGCCGGTTGGGTGGCGTTTTTGAGTTAGCAAAGACTGAGCAGATCGATGTTCTTTGTTTGCAAGAAACTAGAGTCAATGTCGACAGTTGGAGCGCTGTCAAGTCAGCTGCAAACCAGCGAAAGTGGCAAGTTTTTCCTGGCGGCCAAGGGGTAGATGCCAAGAATGTGGTGATTGGCGGGACGTTAGTTTTGTCAAAGTGGCCTGCTGAAGCGTTGGCCATTCCAAGTCAGTTTGCACCGGCTGACCGTGCCATGGCGCTGAAGCTTTTTCGACCTCACCAGCGACCGCTTCTTCTGATCAATGTGTACCTACATGCCAACGATCAAACAGCTGCTGGCCACGCCTTGGCTGCCATTTTTGAATACGTTGCTATGCTGGGCGAAGAAGCAATCATTGTGGGCGATTTCAACAGGGAAAGGCATGTTTGGCCGGCCTCCACCGCGCTGGCGTCGGGGCAATGGTATTCTTGCGATGAACAAGTCTGCGGAGACCAGATTGGCCCTGGCACCCATCGCAACTCAGATGGTGAATACACAGGGGTGGTCATTGACTACGCGCTTTCAACTCCCAGAGTTGTTGTTTCCGGAAGAATGCAGTCTTTAGGTGTTGCTGACCATGATGCAGTCATTTACGATATACATGTGCATGGTAGCTTACCCACGCCTTGGAGATTGCCGGCAAGCGCACCACTCTTGCTTTGCAATGTGGAGGTTGAGAACTGGAATGTTGCTTGGGCAGAATCACAGCAAGATTTCACCGATGCTCTGGCCGTCGGAAATGTGGATCAAGCTTGGGTGGTCCTGAGCAACTGTGCTGAATCTTTGCTGCTTGCACAAGGCAAGCCCAGCAGGGCATCAAGGGACGGCCCGCACAAAATGGCGAGCCCCCCATCAACCAAAGCTCCTACGTTGCAGACTTTGGAGGAGCGAAAGCTGAGAAGATTTGCACGGCGGGTGGTCGAATATCAAAAGGCTCCTTCGCCGCAATTGCAAACCAAGCTGTTGCGCGATGCTCCGCTTTTGCACTCGTCTCTTACTGCGTTTTCTTTATCTGATGGTGGTTTGGCTCCCGCCGCTTTGCTTCTTGCAGATGAGGTGGCCAAAAAGGCGTCTCAGCGACGCCTTGCTGCTTGGAAAGAGGACATTCAAGAAAATGTTGCGAAACTGGGGAAGTGGGTTCAGCAAAAACCACCTGATCCACCTACAGCAACACAGGTCGATGGTCCTATTTTGCCTGAAGATAAGGCAAGACAGGAGGCAGCTGCGTGGCACACGCATTGGAATCCGGACCACCTCCCACATTTAGACCAGGTTTCAAATTTGTGTTTGCAGCTCAACAATCAGGTCGACCCAGTCACGCCTGAAAGCATTCAAGTGGTTGGGGCTGATTTGGCGCGTTCTGCGTTGAAAGCTAAACAAAAAGCGGCTGGTATGGATGCTTGGACTGCGGCTCATTTGTGCAAGTTGCCGGAGTCCTTTTGGAATCACGTTGCAGTCTTGTGGTCGGCGTGCATGCAGTGTGCGAAAGTTCCTACAATGTGGAAAGATATTCGCATAGCCTTGATTCCAAAGGCGGCCGGGGGCCTGCGCCCACTTGCCATCACGACGGTCCTGTGGCGCATCTGCATGAGTGCAACTTTGCAAAAGCTCCGACCATGGATACAAGAATGGGCCTTGCCTCAGCTTTGTGGCGGCCGTCCAGGAAGAGGCATTATGGATGTTCATGAATTGCTCTACGAAGACATTCGTGCTGCCAAACGTTCAAGAGTTGATTTTGTTGGCTGCAAGGCCGATATCCGTAGGTGTTTCGATTCGGTTTGTCCAAAGACTGCACTTGCTATTTGGCGCTGGTTGGGTGCTCCGGCCAGTTTGTGTGACATGGTGGAAAATTTTTACACTGACCAACGCAGGTGGTTTGCCTGGCAAGGCATTTTCCATTCAGAGCCCATTTGTGCTCGGCGGGGGCTGCTGCAGGGCTGCCCGGCAAGCCCAGCCTTACTCAATGCGGTGATGGTAGTCTGGGTGCGCTTCGTTCTTTTGCAAGAGCCTCGTGTTTCTCTTGCAGTTTATTTGGATGACCGCACAATGTGGAAGAAAGGTGTCAACGGCATTCACGTGGTCACCAACGCCATGCAGGCAGGTGCGCAGGTTGATGCAATTCTGGGCATGGAACTCCATCCTGACAAGTTAAATAGTTTCACAACCAAGCAACATTTGACGCCTCAGCTGTCACAGATACAGGACGTGTTGGGGGCTCCTTGCAGCAAGTTCACGCTTCTGGGTATTCAGTACAATTTGGAGCGTGCAGGTGCTTGTGTTAATGCAGAGAAGCTTTCCTTTGACATTCAGGAGAGGTGTCGCAAAATCAGGTTGGCAGCGAAACGTTTGGGCACCCGCAAGACCTTGCTGGGACAGTTGGTGATCTCTTTGTTTGCATGGACAGGAGCTTTTCACCACTATGATGTTGATACCATCAAGAGTTGGACCTCCAGTATTGAAGCGGCGGTCTGGGGGCGCAAGCCTGCCCCAGGTCGCAGTAGATTGCTGTTCTGGAACTCTTTGGGCACACCGCGTTTGCATCCTGCTTTTGCGCTTCACTTTGCTGCAGCCCGGGCTGAATGGCAGCGCCAGTGCCGCTTGGCCATAGGTGTGCCCGCCGCTGTTTCGCCAGGCCCAAGGTGGAATACTGTTTGCAAAGACTGGAATTGGCGTGTTGAGGGTGGTTTGTGGATCACTCCCGTGGGGACTTTGAAACCAGGGTGGATGTCTTCTTCAAGCTTATACAAAGCTGCTGCTGCAGCATGGCTGGCTTTTATGTGGACGAAGGACACCAAAACGGAGGGTCCTTTACCTGAAGGTAAGTTGCCTGTGTTCCAATTCCAGGCCAATGTGGCGCATGATTTGAACTATTGTGGTCGCAGAGTCTTGACAGGTGCAGCAGTGGATGGGAGAGTTACTCAACGTTTGGAAGTCGACTTGCAGTGTGATTGTGGTTTGAGCTCTCCTGATCGTGAGCATTTCACTTTCTACTGCGAGGCAAATCCTTGGCATGGTGATCTCAAAACTCCAACTGAAAGGCGGTTGCTTGTTCCTCTTGTGGATGCTCCAGCTGTTCTTCCATTTGAAGATATGACGGCCGACCCCATTCTGGTGGCTTTTCTACAACAGTTTGACCCACATCAAACGCCGACTTTGGGCTTGGATGGAAGTTGCGCAATCGCTCCAGGGTGCGAACTTTGGCAGCGTGCCAGCTGGGCTGTGGCGGCACATCTCGGGCCCACGGTCAATGGGTTGGTGCATGGTTTCGAGCAAACTCCTGCTGCGGGCGAGAGAGGTGCACTTCTTCAAGCCTGCTTGGCTTCCCATGAAGCGAACAGAGCGGTGCGCTTGCTGATTGACAACCAAGCTCTTGTGCAACGTCTTCATCGTGGCATGCGGCTTGGTCAGTGGGGTGGAGATCTTTTTCCATACTGGCATTATATCAGGATGCTTTTGGTTGATGGCTCTTCTTGTGCTTGGATTCCCTCGCATAATAAAGTTCCTCGATGGCGCCCACCCGAAGGGTGGCTTGATGTTTTGCGTTGCCGCATGCTCAATGCCAAAGCGGATGCTAGCGCGGCTGATCTTACAGGTCAATTTCGACAGGTGATTGCTACTTGTTTGTCACAACACAGAGAGGCAGTTGTTTGGGCTGGAGAAGCTTGGAAGGCGCAACTAAAGGGTTCTCTTCCCTACTGGCAAGTTTTGCTTGAACACGAACCACGTCAAAACAGGTCGTTTGAATGAGCGTTTGCTGCTTCTTCAGCTGCATGGGTGGTACTTTTCTTGGCTTGAACTTGCCCTCCGGTTTGTTCAGTGCAAAGAGCTCCGGCTCTGCGTTGGCAATTTCGGCGTCTTAACTACTTCACTTCGGTGAGGAGCAGGTTGACGTCCTCCTCCAATCCAATCCGACCTACATGAAAAGGGCCTGGTGCATTTTTGAAAGCTACGCCGCCGCCTTGGAGCTTGATCTTTTTCTTTGGGCCAGAATCACAGCTTGGCGTACCACAATGTTTAGTGGTTTTGACATATCTTGACCCCTACCTTGCCATACCATTTCAGAGCCATGTGACATTTGAGCAAACGACATGTCTGGATTTTTGATGCGTGTTGTTGCGAGGTAAAGTAGTTAAAGGATGTTAAAGGATGTTAACAGGCAAATTGTCGGCAAAATGGCAAAGCCGATTTAAATTGTCATCGTTGTGAACATGGAATGAGGTGTGCATCACGCAGGAGATACCAATGAACATCATACTCCCCTGCGCGGCTGAGACCTTTTTCAAGGAAACTATGTCAGCGGGCAGGTGACTTGCTGACTCAAGCGGCCCAAGCGCCATCAGCCATCAGCGCCACCCACATCTCTCAGATTAAAACGGTGCTAATATTTCATGTGGAAGCACGCAGCATATTTGTTTGGAATATTTCTTTTGGAATGATGGTCATTTGCTCTTTGCATTGCAAAGAATCAATGAATGATTTGAAGGCTGAGGCTTCCCGGGCCTGTCATGTGAGTTGCTTCTGACTTGACGACTTGAGGATCAATGTGCTGACTGACGCCGTGGATACTCTCAATGTTCGGCATGCCAGGGCGGGATCCAAAAAGGACGAGGCAAGCAGAAGCCAAAGTGGTGCAGGTTCCTTGTGAACGGTTTAGACAACTCCAGTAGTATTCCCCGGTATTCACCACCTCTTGCTCATGCATTTATTGTCAACTGACAATATGCTCAGGAGCGGTGCTCTGTGTTCTCAGTTTGCTCTGCAGTCTGGGACAGGACTTGATCAAAAGAATCATCCTCACCACCACGGGTTACGATGCAGTGAATCATGCTGTGAAATCGCGGCTGAAAGACCAGTTGACAGTCTTGTTCCGTGGCTGCAAACTTGGGGTGAAGAGGGGCGTGAGTGTTCAACAGATGATGATGATGATGATGATGATGATGATGACAACGACGACGACGACGACGACGACGATGATGATGTTGTCGACGATGACGACGACGACAACGACGACGACGATGATGGTGATGACGATGGTGGTGGTTGTGGTGGCGGTGATGATGATCATGGTGATAGTAACAGTCAGGATTAAGTTGCTGAAATGGTCGCCTTTCATACGTGCATGTTCAGTGAATCTATGGAACAAGATGGGACACGATTGTCATCAAGATAAACAACATCCATGGACGTATCAGTAGAGCGGCACAAAGCATTCCCACTTGTTAGATAGAAATGGCCGGAAACAATTTACAAAACCTAGCCAAGTCCACAGGATAAGAAAAACATGCTCAAACAACCTCAAACACATCCTTAAAACTGCCACAGTTCTGTTTGAACAAACCGAGGTTTCGCGAACTTTTTAATTAAACCGTGATTTGCGGCGGAGATGCTCAGATGATCTCAGATGTCTAGGTCAAATCGTGATGCAGGATGACCAATCATTCATTGATCAGAGTACAGTAGATGAAATTAATTTCCAAACATTGCAATTGCAATTCGGAACATGATAATGAAGCAGTGCAGGACGGGTTCTTGATTTTGGTTTCGATTTGGAAGGGGATGCCTCCACATTTGCAGTCATTGCTTCGTACATCATGAGCCACCGAGCACTCCCAATTCATGAACTATTTATGAGGGCAATGACCCATAGTTTGATGGCGCTAGATGCCAGCAGCTTTTGATGCTTTTGGAGACGGCGGGCTGACGAGTGTTTTGAGGCCTCACAAGTGGACGCCAATGCAAACTAAGAGCGCTGCAGAAATGACAGTTGCAACATGTTCCAACCTTGGATTCAAGAAACCGCTCTCACTGTCTCCTGATGCTTTGCATCATACACAGACACAGACATTTTAATTCGAAGGGATTGAAAAGGGAAGTGGCGGACGCGGGGACGCGTTTGTGCGCGACATTTGTTGTTCCGCTCCAAAGAGGTGAGATGAGGTGAGTTGTTTTTTTCCCCACAGCCTGATCAATGCTCAACGGCCTGTACTTGCTAAGACATGCAAAGACACGGTTTGCAATTTCTGAACTGTTTCTCAAGATGTTCTACTTCAGTGTTCTTACATAATGTGCCAGCTGCTTTTACACGATCACCCAAAACAATTCAGAACAGTCGGTCGCTGCTGGAGCCGAAAAAGTGAAACAGCTCTTGGCACCGATAAGCCGTGGAGTGGTGCTGTTGAGTCCCGGAATAGCCGACAGAGCTTTGCTCAAGCTCGATGCAACAAGCGGTCATTTCATTGACGTTGATATGAATTTGATTTTTGTCTTACAACCTTGATTGGACCTTTGCGGTCCCGAGATGATCGTGTCTTCTTTCATCATTTTGATCCACGAACTCCCACACTTGCAGCTGCGCGGCCCCCTTGGGGGCACTCCAAGAATCGATCTAATAGCATCACAGGCATCATACTTTGCATTGTATTTCTTTTTGCGATTTAGTGGAGTGGATGCAGAGTATCGCTATATCATGCTATATCAGAATTCTGGCAGCTCAACCTCGAACATGAGTTGCCAACACCTCCCATCAGACGAACCTGTCCTGCCGTGTCCTATGCCATTCCAAACTAGTTTTGTTGGATGTTTACCAACGGTTCCATGTCATGCTTCAATGGTGCAATTGCGGGAACCTCATGTCAAGTCTGTGGAAAGTGACCAAGTTCCCGTGCCATTAACAGACAACCATGCAGGTACTGCCTATGTCCCTTCCTCAATGTACTTGCCCAAAGCGGCGTGATTTCCCCTGTCGCCCAAAACCAAAGAACTTTGCACCACAATATATTGATATGTTACAAACAAATTACAAACAATATGTTCATTTAATTTGGCCGTTTCTGATCAAGTATTGCAACGGCTGGAAGATGCCAAACAAAAGACACGTGGTCAATGCAGTATCCTGAAGGAGTTGGCTAGCTACAGTACTACTGCTTTTGATATATGTTACACAGATCTTAACATGTCAGCTACAAGCAGGCAGCTAGACATATGATCAAACATATAGGTCTGATACGCAAAACTTAGACTTGTATTCACACCAAAGTTTTGTGGGAGGGTTTCAACACAGCGAGACCGAGAAGGAGAAATGGTCGGTGCCTTCCCAACTTCCAACCTATAATTTTACATAGCTTACTGATTTCCATAGCTTACTTGTCGTACAACAACCTGCTGCGAGCCGATTGACTCGGCTCCTCCCCGTGGCTCATCATGGATACAAGGATGGAGTCTTGTGGGCGAGTCACGGCGCACGCTGTTTCCTCTTTTTGAAACTGTTATGGAGTTTTCTTTGCGAATCGCAATGGCAATTTATTGTTGATGGCTTGGCTTCTATTGAAGCAAACTTGCGCCGGAGATTGTAGTTGGTGGAACCGATAGAGGGTATGGATGATGAATTCGTAGACACGTCCGATTTTCCGGGTCCGGTGATATCCCACTGTGACCCACAGCATCCCACAGCCGTTTTTGACGGCCAACTCCTACAGGAATGACTTGACGACTCCCCTCTACTCACCTGGCACCTCCATCAGTGCTACAGTCCCATGGCTGAGAGTGGAGGATTGAAACATGTTGAAGATTTGCTCACCAATAATGATAGTTATGGAATGTTATTGATATGGTTGGATGTGGATGGAAGATGATGAGCCCCATGCCACACTGTTCGTTTTCAAAGCCTATCATTGAGACAAGGAGTGACTTGAAATCGGTACATCTGGGGCAAAGATGGGCCATGTTCGACCTGATCAAGCCATTTCGCGGTTGGATTCAGGTCTTCAGCCCCAACCATCCGCCCAAGAAGGTGCTGGCTGTTGGTTGCGGGATTTCAATGGCAGTTCTTGGCAGGATATCCAAACATAAAAAGCAACACACATCCTGATGTTTTCGGATGACATGTGACTCACATCATGTCTTGAAGTGGTGACATTCAAATGGCTGTGGATTGAAACCCATGGAATCACCTGGTGAACCCAACAAAATAGCTGGTAATTGGATGTCCATCCCCTCAAAATATATGGTATAATGGGGTTTTGAACCATCCCCAAATGAGGGAAGTTCCTTGTAAAACCCCGCGTCCGACAGTGAAACGGATCTAGCACTGATTTCAGTACATGGCGTCAGTGTCGTTTCTATGGTGATTGCAGCTGATTTTTCTGCGAAGATCATCCCCGCGAAAAACTCAAAATGATAGCCTTAAGTAAAACACTGTAAGCATCTGTAAGCATCATTCAGCACTTCATCTCCTATTATCCTATTGGCACTGGCGAACCAAACAAACCGATACCAAGTCGTTTTCCATTTGTTTCTTTTGTCTAAGGGTCCATCGCCAGCACAGTTGGATCACTTCCAGGTGGAAGTTCATGCAGATCAACAGGCTCGGAGCCCCAGAGCTAGCCATAGACGATTTCATCAGAAACAGTCGGCAAATTTCACCAGAAACAGTTTCTTCGACCAAACATGCTATTTGAATTTGAGTTTGATTTTTCTTCGAATCAATCTGGAATCAAAGTCTGCGAAATGTGTTCCTTCGTTGAGTCCCCCTCGAATTTCTTGCCAGGATGGGAGTTGCCTGCAGGCTATCGGCGCGCGTTGGGGGGTCTCAGTTTCAAACTGGTGTTTTCAAATGGGGCATAGCTACGTAGAGAAACCTTGTAATTATGGTGTTTATACTTTAATAATCTTTAGTACAACTTTTTTTTGTTGCAACTTGGAGATACATACTAGCCAGCTTAGAAATGCTTCAAACACTTTGTATTGCATGGTATCTCAGATTGGCCATGTTGGCTATTAATACGGACTATGAATCATGCTGATCAACCAGTTGCATGGCGAAGGCCATGTACAGCTGGAAGATAGGTAGTCCAAACTGCAAATCAGATGGAAAAGAAAGATCAACATCATCTTACCAGTAATATATAACATCATCTTATTATATCTTATTAGTAATATAACATCTTAATTTGACTTGAGTACTTACTGTCAGTACCACATTTTTGTACAAACCCTGGGGGATGACGCCCATGGGATTTTGGCGGTCCAAAGTTTGAGAGACACCGCGTGCTCTGTTTTTTCTCGCTTTTCTGTGTGCCTTCACTTTCGAGTTTGAAAGTTCACCTCTGAAGTTGGGTTTCGTTTGAAGCGTATCAATGACTCAAAAGTGTGTCTTTGAAGTGGGTTTTCCTTTCAACTCCAATAACGTTTATTAAAACCAATGCCACAACTCATCCCCAACTTCAATGAAAATCTTGGGTTTACCGCAAATTACCCCTATACTTTGTTGGTTAAATCATTTAAATCCCATACTATCCTTGTGTATCCCCCTACTGGAGGAATCTGGAGGATGGAAGTTGGGCGGAAAGCCGTTGATATCCTGGGCTGACTGGGTTCAAAGGCATCTCATCAGCGGGACTGAGCTGTACAGTAGCTGAAGTGCTGGTTAAAATTTGACGGCTAGAACCTTGAGAATAGGTTTCTGGAAGATGATTTCCGATCGAGACTGGCAATATCTGGCAATGTTGAGGGTTGATGTTGAATTCGGGTACCATGGGTACCGTAAAAAGTGAACCAGCATATTTACCATATTTGGTATTTCGTTCCTGTGTCAGATTCCGATTGGGTCCTAAAAGCGACAGTAAAGCGTCAAGCAATAGGCAGGACAAGTGGGCATGGATTCGAGGAAGGTTTCAACCAGGCCACATATATTGAACATTATTGAAGCATATTGAACCACATGATCCCGTGTTTTTTGCGGAAGCCCGACGTCGGATGGCGGTGGAACCAACAACCACCGGGA